CGTACACAGGAAGACGAACACGAAGAAATATTTGAAAAAAACATGGCAGAACAACAAAATAAAAAACAAAAAAAAATGAACAATACAGGGAACGGCAAAGAAAACGCGTTTTACAACAGCTACGACGCTTTAACTAATAGTATGGTTACAGAACATAACACCGATTTTAACTCTCTTACTTGGGGAGACAAAGTAGAACTGGAGCTCAATGCTCTAAAAGACACTACGAACATATGGAACAACACTTCCGAGGAATCCCTCAATAGGGAACAAGAAGAAACACAGCTTCCTCCAACAGAGGGAGACAACTGGAAATCCACGATAAACGAGGAGAAGCAAGAGGAACAGAAGTTAGAACAAGAATTAATGCAAGACCCGGTCGAAGAAACAGACCAAAATACCCTCTTATTACAGGATAAAGTAACAGACAACAACTCGCATAGAAGTTGGGCGGCGGCTCTTTTCCCCAAGCTCAAACGAGGAAGGGCCACCTTCTCGACGTTCTCTCCCAGAAACGCCATCAAATCTAAAAATAACAATGCCCTAATCATAGATATCCACAACATTCAAAGTTCCTTTAATGAAATTATGGCCTCTTTATTCGAGTCAACCAAATATGATATTTCTGCCGCAAAAGCTCACTTCACAAAAGGAACCAGAACGCACCTAGAAGTTACGTTCATAGACAAAGACAAACAAAGGCATTATGCCGCGAAGGGACTAGAAATTTTACGGAAGACATACTACGGCTATATTCCTGTCGATACGAGAAAGACGTTCCTCCAGGTTAGGTGTAAAAACGTACCCCTTGGGAACAAAAACGACATCACAGAAGCGCTCCGGGAAAGCTTTGGAAGCTTCGGAAATATAGTATCGATTAAACCCATGTTAATAGAAGGCACACCATATGTATCCGACCAATGGATCATTACCTTCGAAACAACCGAGGACCCAGACCTTGAAAATAAACTCCCACGGTTCACACACGTGTGGGATAACAAAGTCTATA